CAGTGGATAATTCTCGGTGGACTGTGAACCACAAGGTACGGGGTTCGAATCCTTGCCAGAACCCTAACTTCATTTAGCAAGACGTTAATATAAATTTGCCACACTCCACGGCTGCCAAAGCTAAAGCTAGGGCAATAATTTCCAAAGCTCTTAGAAAGCGCGTAGGGACGTTATACCATAATGCGTCATACAAGAAAGGATTTTCATTATATAACCATTACGCTGGTGTAATATGACTTCACTTTATTTAAATCCATGTCATATTATTGTCAGAAGTGCAATTAATTGATAAGTGAAACCAGGGGCCTGTTTCATAAAACGTTTATCTGTAACAAATGCTAAATTTATATGACAAATTTGCTCTCAGCCAATCATTTGACTCGATTTCAGTAGCTTATAACAGAGCTTCTAACTTGTTATTGATATCAAGTTTTATGAAACAGGGTCCTGAATTACCTTCCGGAAAACACGATATCTACTACAGATATGAACTCACCGAGAACGGGTAGGTACAATTGCGGTATTTTCTTTGTTATGCATCAATGCTGGTGAGGTATATATGAAAATATTGTACAATATGCTATGGTATTATGCACAAATGGAAGATGAAGAAGTGTCACCTCAACAGCGTCATCCATCACCTAACGGTATAATTACTGTCTATTTTAAGTGGAGACACGATGAGGACGATGAGCTCATTACAATGAATAGTTTATGGACAATTTCCTCGTGCAAGAAAATTGCGTGGTGGGCTTATTCCCATTGGGGAATGCTTGAACACAGTACAATGATCTCATTATTATGATAATTTTATCATTTGATAATGTAACATACTGTGGTCTGTGGTCTAGTGGATATGTCTCCAGAACGTGATCGACAAGGTGGGGATTCGAGGACTACCTTTGGCAAGACATTAATCGACTTTAATCGAAATATTATGCCGTATTGTCTTTTTTCTTTTATTTATTTATTGTTTTCCTTTATTTCTTCTCCTACATTAATATTCCAGTAATGGCGTATTAACATAATTAGTCTAAGTTGCCACATGATAGATAAGTTACACACATCGGGTGAAATTTATCCTGTCGAGTTATACTGATCAGAAGTCATTCAGTATTGAGTGTTTTAGGCGGGGGCTGGGGTACACTTTAAAGCAATCCACAGAGTAATTAATACCCTATGAGAAATTCATTGTCGCTACAATGGTTCAATAAGGCGAATATCTTTTTATCTAATTAATTGGCATTGGATTTGCACGGGACCTACGTCCTTAATATAAACTGAGCACTAATCCCAAAGGTGCAATAAAATTGCACGAATGGGATTTGTGTTAGAATATTGCCACCTCTGGGTAAATTTGATAGATGTGGTGAAGGTGGGTCCAATTAAATTAATGACATTTCTGCAGCTGTCAAAAAAGCAATTAAATCCACATCGTTTGACACAGACTAATCAAGGTTTTATCCCTTTAGTACTGTGAAGGCCTAATTGTAATATTTGAGAATGCTTCACGTGAAAGAAATGAAATAATCACTTATACCTTTCATACGATTCTTCCTATCTAAATTACTTTGCTTGTTTGTGTATGTGCGTCTGTAGTGTGTTCATGCACGGATAAAACAAAATATTTTACCCTTTTACTTTTCAATTTGTGATGGAAAAATCGAACAAAATGTGGAACGTGTTTGGAATTCATAAATATATGCCCATTCCCGTCTTCTACTAATACTGGTGAGAATGGCCAGGCCTACCAAACACAAGCGGATAAGGGTTAATGTCTAACATATCCAAACATGAACTTTGGTCCTTCCTACGTCGAAGGCCCGTGGAAAAGGTCACGTGATAAGTAAAAGGAAGAACCCTATTCATAAAATACACCTGGTTTTATTTTCTGGTCTATATTCACCAGTTGTATGTCTACCCGGTGTGTACATTGTAAAGGGCGACGGAAGGTCGGAATTGCCAGATGCCGGCATGCAAACAAACAACACAACCCACGGGTGGGACTATAGATATCACCTTGTGCACCACAGCGAACCATTGCTCAGGATATGCGTCAACTTTAAACAATAGGAGGAGTTAGTGCATATGCACAGGCCTTAAAGAGAAGGATGAGTTCTGGGAAGAGGTAAAAAATAATTTGTGAGCGTTATCATTGTTATTATGCAAGGGTGGAAGAACATCAGATTAAACATGTTCCCTTAAAAGCATGGCTCTTCAAATGCCTTCATATTCTAAATATGACATGAAACATCGTAAAAATCGGGGGTAGGTTTTTTTCGCCATGTGCTCATCATTCTGTGTACAGTGCTTGTAATTTTGCCAAGACTTGGCCAAATTTCTTATCATTTTGATGATTCTAGAACCTTGCAATACACACGAATACTTATATACTAGATGATCAACCTTTTCTGATAGATTCCACACCGTTTTTTTCACAATGCAATCACATGACCAGAACTCAACTTTATCTTTAAGGGAAAAAAAATGATAATCGATTCACACTACACTGCTATTTGATATGAGACTCTACACACATGCAAACGCTGTCAATAGTGTTACGTTGGTTAACTCATCCAGTTATATCGTCTGCAAGCAAGCAAGAAAGACAATAAATATATAATCGCACTTAAAATTTGTTAAACTCTATCGTTATTAGCTAGCTGGTAACCAGGCGGACTGTTTCACTTTTTCTTTACCGGTTCTGGTCGACCAATGCGACAGGGAAATAAGCAGGGAGTTAAATCACCTCCCTGGAAACAACACAGTTGACTGCTGTCACACGTACATGCATGTACAATATTCCAAACATTGTGACCGTCTGGGGTTTTAATCCATAGCGAATACCTACTGCATATAGTTATTCACATTGTATTCTGAATCTAATTATATGTTTTGCCTTCATTTTCATCTGTTTACCGTCATTTTAGAAATGTAATAATTTACAAGAAGAAAATCACAAAATATGGTTTGACAATTCTGTCAATTCCTTAGTCACAAAAAAAATGCATTGTATGTACCCACTATTCGAGGCGAAGAGTTGCCTGTATTTAAAGTTAGCTTGCATGGTGAATTTTCAAACAATAATCTGATTTTAATACGTATAGTTTCTTCTCTTTCAGAGAAAATATTTAAACTATGCAAGAAAAAACACGATAATATAAGACTTTTGGAATGAGATGAAGCATACAAGTGGGAAATTCTTTGGTCAATATAACCATGGGAAAACTTGGTCCAATCGTCAAAGATCTTTGGTCCACACTACCACAATAAAGTCAAAAGCTAACCACATGTTCGTTTGCAATGCCATTGCCTCATGAATTAATCACATTTCCAAAGTTTCAGACAATAGAAAATGAAATAAGATACTTGAGCAAACATAACAGGTGCAAGGCATAATAACGTTTCTATTTCAAATCTTTACAACATCGTATCGTTTGCCTTGAACAAACATTCAGTTTACTTTAAGCAACGATTGATTTGATATTAAATTCCATACCTTAGTCAATATTCTTATCAAGATAAAAAAAATTAAAAAAACGCTTCTACGACTCTACCCCAAAGTATACGAAGCAGCGTTTGTTAATAATTATACAAACATTAAGCTTTCCTTTGGTAAGTAAACCATACATGTTTTAGCGAGTCCCGCGGGCATATCCATATGCTAATGGTAAAATACACATACAGCATGTATTTCGTTCTTTACATTTATCATAACGGCAACAACAGATGCTACAAAATCGACATATCATAGATCCGTGTGGAAATACAAAACACAATTTGGCTACCATGGTTGTTTCTCATCGAAATCAGAACAAACGCCGGAGGCATGAACATCATATCTCGAGCCAAGAGTGTATTTACCCCTTCATGGCTTGTACACCTTATCCGTGCAGAGAAGGAACTAATTTAATTTGCACGGATTCTTAACGATGCTTCTTGCGCAGCGCACGCTTCCTTAAATCCGCATGGGGGTGGTTTAACCTACTCAGCCCTGTAGACAGAAATCATCTTCGGGTGAAACTACTTTCATTCTTAACAGATTTATTCATTTATTTTTTAATTGTAAGGTTTAAAGTTTAAAGCAGTATAAAAAGGGTTGTAATCCTTTTTATATACCGCATCGGTTAATATACTCCCCCCCGTGTGGCATTTTTGCCATGGTTCCCAGTCCCCACAGTGAGAAATCCCTGAAGGCTTAAATCAATTGCAGTTATGGTAAATTCGTCTTGTCTCTCTAGTTTTCTCTCATTATAGGCAGGGGTCCAGTGAGTATGCAAGTTTAATTGATATCATTACTACGCTTCTCGCACATTGTGGGGTTTCACATCTCGTTCGCCCTTCAACCCAATGCCTAAACCCCCATATAATTCCCGATGATAATTACCTGAAAAATTGACCAGACGGACACTGGAGAAAGGTGAGAGGATAATGAGGCTAGTTTTCTTCGAAAATTTCTAAATAATAGGTCATTAACTAGCCTGTGCCAAATGTTCCATTACCATTATATCACGTGTTGTCTGCTTTATAGTAGACTTCTTCTGTCATTCCAAATGAAGTTATTAAGTTAATGATATGATTGCAGGGTCCTCAGGGAGAACAGTAATACTACTGATGAGGCTACCCTCGGTAAAAAATAAATAACTATTAACATCATTATATTGATTATTATAATTATTATTATTATTATGAGATGCATTATACACAGAAGTTCTAAAGTGAATAATCATTATCATTAGCTTCCATTCCTCATCTTGCAGCAAATGGTGGAAGAACTGAAAATGCATTTTCCTTACACATTAAAAACAACAAGATTTTCACAATCAAAATGAGGCAGAGCTCATCTTTGCAGTCATGGAAAAATGCAACACTCGATGAAGCCTAACATACCACTCGTCAGATCACACACCCATCCATCTTATACATTCACAGTCCAGGACACAGCGCATAATCAATACAAATATAGATACAATCCGACTTTTCTCTTTATGACCGCACAGCTAGCAGATAACACAGTCATTTTTGTTAGGGTCCGTTGCTTTCATTTTAGGTCTCGCTGATCTCCGAATCAAGCTCCGACTTCTTGACAAATCCTTGTCGCTTTCCCTGAAACTTCTCCTCTCTCCCCGCTGCCTTGACTTGTAACCGTACTCACTCATTCTCCGTTTCAACACGGGGCTCAACTCCCTAGCAATGGGAATCTTCGCCATCTGTAGAAGCTTCTGAAATATGTCCAGTATTAGAGAATTCTCCTTTGCCGACGCTTCAAGGTGCGCGCAGTTCCAGTTATTTTGCGCTAGAGTCACGCGGGCGTCGTCGATGTCCACCCGACGTTGGAGCTCGAGATCGGTTTTATTTCCTACGACCACGATAGGTATATCACCGAAGTTTGTTCTCTGTTCCTGGATCTGGTTGTATATTTGTTTAACGTTATCAAACGACGCAGAATCGTCAATAGAATAGACCAAAACAAAAGCGTGCGCTGTTGATATGGACAATCTCCTCATAGCTGGGAATTGCAATGTCCCAGAAGTGTCTAGAATATCTACTTTAATACTATGTCCGTTAATATGATATTCTCGACAATGTAGATCTTCCACGGTTTCTTTATACTTCTCCTCGAATTTATTATTGATGAATTGTTGAATTATTGCGGTTTTACCTACCTTTCCAGATCCCATGACCACTAAACGGTAGTGCTCCTCCGAATCCGACATGGTTCGATTTTGGGAGCGCAAGAAAAACGGATTCAAAATTCCACGGTCGAATGAACTTCAAAATTATTAGTAAAGTGTATGTAGAATCATGCATGTGCTAATCCATGGTTAGAACATATACTCAAATCATTCAAAGACGCTGCACATTGACTCACAAATCCAAAGTTGAAATGCAATCTAGAATAGATATTAACCTCTTAAGTTCTATCGACCCAGTGCTATGCGATTTTCACGGTTGATGAGGTGGGTTATTTTCGTCGCAATCCTATTAAAAATCAATCGAACGTAGACATTTCTTGTTCATCGTCAACCACACTTATTTGCATTTAAATTTAGTGTGTCTTTATCCACATACAGGGTAGACCGTAGGTGATGGATATGTTTGTGCTATTTCAAAATCGAATACATTACCCTCTAGCAATGACGCACATTTTCAGAGCTAAAAAGGAAACGTGATTCCGGAGGCGTGTAAACTATGAATATACTGGCAGGTAATCCCTGACCAAGGCGTTCACATAATATTCATCACCCTATAAGGGTACATTCTTATGAATACTGGATACGTTTTAAAGCGGGGTTGTTGGTGCATGAAGTGTGAGACAGACGTAGTGGCAGAAAAGAGAGTTGAGAAAACAATATTCGTTGAAGCTAGAATCAAGCGGCGAACAGTTGACGTCAAGATTACTAATCATATAACTTTGGTCAAGATGGGATCAATTTTTGCTATCACTGTTCCTCAAAACTTTCTTCTTTTTGATGCGAAAAAACTTTCAGTCTTTGTCCCAGCCAACCTCTCATTTGTTGTTTGAAACCTTCGCCTTGTCTCGTTCGTTGTTTTTCGCCCTCTGTCTCCAGTAATTCCCAGATAAATAAGCCACAAGCTAACTGTTCATCGACATTTCGAAGAAAGATATATAAAGGTAGCCGTGGGCCTCACATGTTCCAAAACACTGCACAATATTCCGCGATTCTCTATCGTCGAAATCACCCGCTCATTCAGATGACGATGAACAGCCTCGTTCTCCTTGGCTGCAAGTTATTTTATTGGAAACAAGTCAATTTATGGCAGAAAGTTATCTCCTCGAAAGCTAATGAAATACCAAGGGGATCCTCAAGTGCTGTTTATCAGTGTACCGTGAATACGATATGGCATTTGTACAGAACTTTACAAAAAACAAGTAAGACAAATTGCATCGTCCTCCGCAAAGCGATTAATTCCAAAGTATCCGGTCGAGGAAAAATGGATGTGGCGAGTGGGCCGCTTGTGAGCAAGCGAGCGACGATTCAATATCGGGGTTAGACACCCAAGTGGCGCATAACTGAGGAAAGCCTTCGACTCGAATGAAGACAGACGAGTTGCGTCAGTTGCGCACACTCGGCGCACTCCGATGGGAATAAGAGAGACGGATGCATGTCGATCAAATTAATGTCTTACGCACTCACCAACACACAAACAACAAACACGCAGCCAACATGCGAATAAACTAGTCGAAGAGGGCGTCATATCACAAAGACGGTTTCTGATCTCGGCGTTGATTTAAGGAATTAGCAAGGGATTGGAAAGCGGCTTGCGTCGTGAAATTGAGAGGATTGTAGGTGTGAGCTGAAGGACACAATAGATCAAGTAGGATGGAAGCGATTATTAGAAAAGGGAATAGAAGGGGTTTAGATTCGTTTATGTTGAATCTTGAATGATAATCACAATTCCACACATGACATCTTGAACATCTAGGGTATTTTGTATTGGTCACGCTCTTAATAAAAAAAAAAAATTGTTTGCGCTTGGAAAACATGAATAACATATTCTTTTATTACAGACTACTAAACGTCATGATAATAGTAATAATTAAAATATTAACAACAACAGTGATAATAATAATAATAATAATAATGATAATAATGATAATAACAACAAATATTACAGATGAAAATGATGATAATTATAATGATAATTAAAAAGAAGAAGAACAAGAAAAATAAGATGGAGAAGGAAGAAAGAAAAAGAAGAAGCAGGGGAAAGGAAAGATAAATAAAAGAGAAAAAAGGAGAAGAAGAAGAAGAAGACGAAGAAGAAGAAGAAGAAGAAGAAGAAGAAGAAGAAAGGAGGGGAAAAGGAAAGAGAAAAAGAAAATGAAAACAAAGATGAAGAAGAAGGAGAAGGAAAGAAGAAAAAGAAGATAAAGTAAAAGAAGAGGAAGAAGAAAAAGAATGGGGAAAGAATAAAAAGAGAAAAAAGCACAAGAACAAGAACAAGAACAAAGGAGACAGGTGATCTTGAAGCTGCCTTTCAAGGTTTAGACGACCTTTTTCGTGAGTGTGTTGTTTTTAGATCTCTTACAAAATGTTTACAGGTAACGAAATATTATACTAAGCACTTTTATGATTAAGATTTCATCTAAATTTAATGAGATGCATAACAAACCTTTCAAAGTAATAAACTGTGAAAAGAGTATATGTAAATATATATATTATTTGTCTCGACTACTTGTCATGGTTTAACAATGCTACCATGTTTAAAGAAAGAGCTTTTTTATGATAATATTATTTCTAATGTTGTTTTTCCTTCACAACTTACATCAACACTCCTCGTTATTACTATTTAATTAATGATAATGATAATAATAAGTATGCAGCGTTCTATACTCATCGAAACTCTACGTGCTTTTAATAGTGCATGGTGTTGACAAATTTATTCTAGAATATAATTACAAGTGCAAATATAATTACTAAAATAATAATTGAATTAGGTAAACAACCATTTTTTGTGTCTTCTGATTTTCTTTTCATTTGCTCGTATCATAATTTGGTTATATCATTTTGATCAGCATATAGATTGGCATTGGAATAAATAAAATTGAGAACAAATAGTCAACTTTTATATCTAAAACGTAACAAATCTATTACAAAATAAAAACACTTACTTTCGTTTCTCATGTCCGATGCTACGATCATATTCTTTGGACTATTTATCTGAAAACTTTTTCAAAGCCCTACAACTTAAGAATATTACTTGGGATGCGGCAATACAGCCGAAACATATTGAATAAACTTGGTACAAGCTTAGCGAATATTACTGAGTACTTTGTTGGAAAAGACAAATTTACATTTCAAGAGATATCACACTTTAATCTACATTATTATGAAGAGCGTGTACATGTATACTTTCTACGACTAATCTTATATAAGAATTACAATTTACAAATTTGCGTTAAAAAAGAAAAAGATGAAAAGATTCAGAGAGATTTGATTTGATTTGATTTATTTATTCAATCACGGTACTAAAAGCCCAGTTCAGCTGTTAAGCTGTTTTACAATGAGGCCGTGCATATACAATAAAAATACAAAGTGAACACAAGAAAACATATATCATATATTAAAGAATAACAAAACAGTAGAGTTACTGATGACACACCAAGTGCTTCTGCATATATACGTAAACATACAGTTTGTGAACAGGAGAGAGAGAGAGAGAGAGAGAGAGAGAGAGAGGGGGGGAGAAAGAGATTGGGGGTGAAGGGGGGGGGCAGATCAAAAGAGAGGGAAAACGGTTATGTACATACTGATAAAATACAAATATACACTGCAACAACAAAAATATTGGCCGATATTATTCTTAATCTCCTGAAGCAGAAGAGATTATAGGGTATCACATGGGCTTACTGCTAAGAATACAGCTCCTTAAATCTATTTAGTTCAGACAAGCGCTCTAGCTAGAAAAACAAGCAGAAGCCATTTCATTTTCATTTTGCATTTCTATTTTATTGTTCATTTTTGCTCAGTGAACTGTGACGTAGCCTCGGACCCTTCTCCCGTTGGTCGTGTATACAAATAGAAATCATTAATGTCTTTTTTCATCCTAAATGCCTTCGCCCTTGGAGAACTACTTAGAATATACGATGGATACTACATCATTATAGGATCTCTAAAATAAAAGACCACAATGAATAACCCATAATTTAATGATACTTTAGTCATTTTGTGCGTTGGAACAAATTGAAACTTCTCCGACACACGTCACAGTGACATAAGACCAGTTCAACCAGTTTGAAGTGCCCGTGTGGACAGTGATTACACATTTAACAAGATCATAACATTCGAATTGTTTGTCCGATTTCGATTTGACTTTTGCCAATCTGATTCCATGATTTGTCTGCTTTCATTTAGAGTAGCTGTCTTTTAAGGTTAGATTTTCCTTTAAAGATAAAGTTTGAGTTCTGGTCATGCGATTGCATTGTGAAAGAAAAGGTGTGGAATGGATCAGAAAAAGTTGATCATGTAGCATGTAAGTATTGGTGTAAACTGCAAGGTTCTAGAGTCATCAAAATCATGATAAATTTGGCCCAGTCTTGGTAAAGTAACGAGCACTGTACACAGAAAGATGTATATGGGACTACACAAATGGTGTCAGGCCTACTTACCTTGATTTCTTTATCTTTTCTATGCTCATTACTCAGCATGTATTTATTTCCTACAAAAGTTGTTTGACCAATGACATTTATTTGTAATCTTGAACTTCAAACTTTCGTTTGATCCTGTGAAAATTCATTTTCTTTCTTTTTTACCAGAACTCAAGTTTATCTTTAATCGTGTTTGTGATATCATCTGATAATTTGTTTGGTTTATAATCTTCCATTTTCATTTACTCCACGTTCCCCCAGATTTCCAAGGATACTTTTGGGTGTAATCCATCATGAATTAGAAACATGATGCAAAGGCAACTTGTTGTCACATAGAACAGACAAAATTAATTGCATTGTAAGAAAATGCGTTAACTGATGCATGTAAAATGACGGAAATGATAATATTTTGACGATGAATATTAAAACTAAGCAACATACAGTGTAACATCTGGAGGCACATTTGTAGCAAAAAGTTACGAAACCAAATGTATTCAATACACCATACCGAAACATACCAAGATTGTCTTATTAGCCATGATGGTTGTTATGTGTCTGTTTGTTGTCCGTTTAGTTAAAAGGCTCTTGGAAATCAAGCAAATATCAAGAAAGGACGTTGGCCTGAACTCTAGAGGGATAAACTTACGACCAGGAAGCA